GAAATGCATGGTCATATTTTATTATTACCCCGAAATTGCACATTTCAAAGAACATTGTTATTGACATGATCTGGTAAAGTACTATGAAATTCAGACGTGTGGCTGCCGGGCTGAAAGAAAATGTCATTCAGAAACTTAATGCCTTAACTACACAATGTAATTTCTTGTGCATGTGTGGCACAAGTATCACGTTTGCATAGGCAAAAGCATGCTTTGAAATAGTGAAAATAATTGAATAAACATATCAAAACAGTATTTTTTAAATTCCTTGACTCTTTTACAAAGGAGTTGATTAATAAAATAATTGGACAGAATTTTACTATTTTATCGAATTGGTATGCACTCGTTAATATAAAACTGCACCACAAAATAAGATGACAGCACTGAAAACAAGCTCAGCGAAAGTGTACTTGTGATAATGGAATGGAGTGAAAAATTCTCAGAACATGCCGACTTCGGTCTTTCCTTCGGCATCTTTTTTAGGTTGCATTGTGCTCCATATTTGTTAATGCATGGCTAATTAACTAGTTTCAACAAACACTAAAACCAATTGCATCATGGCAAATCTAGTGCAGGAGCTTTAAGATGATGTCACTGACTGTGTTCCGTTGATCTTTTTGCTGCATATTTTTGGCTGGCTACACTTGCTTCTGCTGAAAAGTGGTTTTCTTTCATTGCTGTATTATTATTATTATTATTATTATTATTATTATTATTATTATTATTATTATTATTATTATTATTATTATTTGCAAAAGTGTAATTTGCCCATACAGTGTAACCTGTCTTTTCTCATTTATCGTTGTAAACTGCTGGTTATGTGGCCAGAGTTTTGTGGTACAGTTAGAACTCTGAAACCTTTATGTCAGAGCGGAACTAAAGCGTTTTAAGCTCTTTCAATGCGTTCCCCCGTCACGTTCTGTTTTACTTTCCTATAATAATAATACGGTTCACTGAAATTAGGCTCATTATAAAAGCCAAAGGAAGTCCTCCAGTCTGCGGTGAGAAATAAACGGACAAGATTTGGAGGTGGAGCCTCACTGTCGTGGACCAAAATTCAGAATAGTGGCAAAGGAGCCTCTTGAAACAGTGCACACCTATGCTTGGAATGAAATGCTTTATCAAATACAGCTGCATTTGCTGTTTTCACTGAACCAGAGGGAATCCTTGGGTGAAAACTCGTGTGTTGTGACTGCAGGGGGAGGAGGGGAGGGGCAGACGCTCTGAAAATGATCTGACAATTCGTGACAACTCCGAACGCAGTCCCGAAGCACCATGCTGGTAATGTACTAATAGTTCATGCACATATCTAAAGACTCTCAGAGCTTTGGTTTCCGGTAATTGTTGCTTCAGGATCTGTGTAGAGAACAGGTTGAAAAAAAAAAAAAATGATGGGGAGGGCGGGGCTTCCCTTTTGCATATTTCAATGTTTCCAAAAGGAGAAGGTTATGCTTACTCAGGTAGGTAGGCGCTTGTCCGGGATTGCATGGTAAGCTTGAAACATCGGCAAGAAGCGACACCGAAGCAGCGAAATTCAGCTGGAGATTTGATTTACTGCACAGTTGCACGTTCATAAATGTCTGTTCTTTTTTTTCTAATCTTGTCCTACCTTCCCACATAGTTCTCTCATAGAATATAGCCACCTTTAAGTGTGGAGGACGTATTCACCTGGTAATTTTACGATGGGTGCAAAGTGCTGAATTATTCTTGCATCCTTTGCCGTGGCAGTTTTACAGTAGTACGAATCGGCTGTAGGGGCTTGTCATGCATGCACTGGTGTTACTTCAACACATTTGTGTACATTTCCTGAGTAGAAAGATATGGCTTGTTTAACATCGTTATGCAGCGTATTGCCAATGGGGGGTTGCTTTGCTGAAGACATCACCATGTTTGACAAGCCGTTCGACATGCCCTATTCCCGGAAACACTTAAAATTTTTTATTTGTCTGAAGAGATTAAACCAATGAAGACTTGCCCATTTATTTCAATCCTGAGAGTTGATTGTTTTATAAAAAGGCATAGCGGGCTGACTTTACAATGTACATACTTAATTACACTTAAGGTTAATTACCGAAAAATGTACAATTCATTCTGTTATGGTTGAGATATATAAAGTTGACAGTGTTCATTTACGGTATGAAAATGAAGTCCAGCGACGAGAAGCAAAGATGGGAGTCCTCTGGCCACACCAGACAACCTCAACTTCCTCTTCCACATGCCCGGCTCATATCCCAGCGCAGCTCATTCTATAGCAATACACTCAGACCTTGATATAACGAACCGGATACCAAGGAATATTGGTTATAACAAAGTAAATGAAAAATAGTTTTGTAATATAGTGTTAGGAAGATACCTTTATAACGAATTTTGGGTATAAACTTATCTTTGTGTAAGATGCAACTTTGTTATAATAAAGGTTAAGTGTATCACCACCTTCTCTGTTAAAATAGAGTATCAACTGCCTTAGATTTAAGATGTGTGAACTTCATTCATTTACAGATAGACCATCATAATGCATGCCAAAAGCAGATATGCTCATTCAGTTGAGGATGATTGGCTCATGCTAAGTTTTACCTCCCTCCCTTACCTTTCCTGCTGTTCCATATATATTTGTTTTTTGCTAGTGGTAAATCCTGCCTTTCTCACTTTTGTTGCATATTCCCTCTGTGACAAGTGAACGGCCTATTGTCTGTTTGGTTCTTTTAGCTCTTGCTATATTTAAGAGAGAATGTGTAGACAGGCAGGGAGGTTAACCAGAGGCACGCTCAGTTGTCTATCGTGCAATTTAAGAGTGAGCGCAGAGAGGATGATGGGGAAGGGGGGAAGCAACCTCCCTAGAAGACCCTGTCTTTATGAGTTGAACTGTTCTGCATGAACACCTTCGTGGGTGGTGAGTAGGAGGCACATGCAAAATAAATGCAGTGTTTAATGTAGTCTTTGAGGTTTGTCTTTATTTACTGATGCAGGTGCAGTGGGATGCGGACTGATGTCCAGAATTCTTTACTAATGCCTCAAAACTCGATGACTTCTGTCTCCTATGCTCTAGTCGGTCCATCTTGTTCATATGTCAGTACTCTGCATTCAAGCATCAGCATTTTCACAGCAGGAGCTTATGCAATACTTGTGGCCGGTAAACATATAAATTACAAAATTCAGTAATACAAAATTCTCGGAACGTAGTGAAAGCTCTCGAAACGCTCAAAAGACAGAAGAACCTTATCCTTGTCTCGCTGTACTCCCCCCTATGCACGCTCTGCACACTCAAAAAACATGTCGTTGTGTGCTGGATGCCAGGGTGTCGTGAGATTCAAGGAAACGTCTTGGCAGACCAGGTAACTGCGTCTGCCAACGATTCCTCTGCCAATACATGAATAGCTATCCCTGCACTTGAAACATTTCCTTAAACGAAAGCTCAGGGCTCATTGGCAGAGCACATGGGATAGGCAAATGCAAAACAAACTGCACATTATCAAGCCGCAACTTTGACATTAGCTGGCAGTATCGAAGTCACGTCGCACAGAAGTAACACTTACGCAAGTCTTAAGAACAGGACACACACCCAGTACATACTCGTACCTTTTGTCCGGTGGTCATCCACCTTTGTGGGAGGGATTTGGTGAAGCGCTAACCATTCCTCACGTTTTAATCGAAGGACTAGGCATGTTTAACAGCACTTTCCAGCACATACGAGTGTGCATTATCCTACTGACAGCAAGTCCGATTATCCTACTGACAGCAAATACTATTTCACCTATAAAAGTTCATCGGTAGGGATCTGCTTTTCAAACATCAATCATTGTTAGCATTTTTATTAGATCTGCATGAGTTTCATGTAATATACTCAGGCATTCCGTAGCATGATCTCTAAAGAGAGGTCGCTGTTGTGTTGGCTACATCAAACAATGCACTTGCCTTGCAGCCCTTGGATTCAGGGGCTTTGATGAGACTCATGTGCTAATGTCATCTAGCTCCGCCATATCTTTATTTTCACTTCTCACCATTGATTCTCACTACACACACTTCAGGTCACTTACGTGTTTGTAATCTTGTATGTTTTGCCCACCTTAGTTCAAGTAGGTTTAAGGCTCTTATACAGCCGTCCACCAATAATCATTGCCCACATCTCTCTTCCCATGACCTGGCGCTCTTTGGCCATCGAATGGCCCTTATGTCGTAAAATGCCACACATCATCATTGTCAACATGTGCTGGTGGGGTCTTGAAGTGGTCACTTTTTGTAAAGGCTGCATTATAGCATTCAAAATGTCTTAAGCAAGTGCTGCAGTGATAATGGCCAGGAATTGTCTTCACTTTCACTCGGACGTGTGCCATTGCTAGCAATTTTTGCTAGCATCGCTTGCATCAACCTTTGGAAACAGTAAAACGGAAAACACGAAAGTTTTGTCAGTGTGCATCTTCATGGCACTGCAGGTAGTACTACTGCCAAGTAGTTGTCAACTCGAGCAATGTTGAGGGTGCTGGTCGCTTGCAAAAGTGAATGGCTGAGAATCCTTTTGCTGGCCATGGACACAAAGGTCCGTGGGATTGAATATCATGGGTGGTGGCTGCATGTCAATGAAAGAAAAATTCTAGAAGCTGTGTACTTGTATTTAGGGGCACGTTATAGAACAACAGATCTTAAAAAATCTTTGAGCACTTCACTATGACATCCTTATGTATCATACTGTAGTCTTGAGACATAAAACCCAAACAAATATTATATAGAGAATTCTTTTGCTGTCAGATCAACTATATGTTGGATTACAAATACTTTTGTGTCTTCTTTTGGCATAATGAGTATGGAATTCAACTAAAACACTAGAAGGTCGTGGCACGCTTTGTCCATATCTGTATTCATATGTGCTTGGCTGTTGTCACTCTGCATATTTGTGCAATACACTCCTTACAACTTTGCTGCATGCAGTGGCTTCTTATCATATAATTCTGCAATTATCTGCTGAGGCACTAACCACACTCTTCTTCTTTTTTTTTTTTTTACAGCAAGTCTGTGGGAGTGATCATCGGTGTGATCATAGTGATCATTGTAGCCTTGGTGGTAGTCGTCATTGTTTTGTGCTTCTGCTGTAGCTGCTGTCTCCTGGCCAAGCGGAGACAACGAAGAGGCCAAGTCCTTGGTAAGTTCTTGGACCAATGCGAAAGGGAGCACTGAAAGACTCGTATCCTGATATTATGCCATTTGTATTTCACCTGCAAACCTGCTAGGTCATTTGCTTCTTTTATGTACGAATTCGAGTGTACACTAAGGTTTTTTTATTTTTTTTTATTTATAATACCTCAAGGGCCCCAGTCAAGGGGTGTTACATGAGGAGGTAGACAGTTCACAAACAGATGATTTGTTCGATGGCTTTTTTGAAATGGGCGATGCTGGAGTGGTGCACGATGTCGGCAGGAAGATCGTTCCATTCTGTTGATGTTTGCACAAAAAATGAAGAGTGATGGGCAGTGGTATGCGCACGGGGTGGATAAACCGCTTTCGAATGGCTGATACGGCATGAAAGACGATGTGCTGGAACGATAACATGGTTTAGGTGCAATGCATGATGAAATGTGTGAAACAAACACAGTCTTGAAATTTTGCGGCGTGAAGCTAAGTTAACCATGGTAGCTTGAGATTTTAGTTTGGTGACGCTGCTAAGATAGGAATAGTCAGAATAAATGAATCTGGCTGCACGATTTTGGATAGTTTCAAGCGTTTTAATAAGAGTTATTTGATGGGGATCCCAGATGGCACATGCGTATTCTAGCTTCGGGCGGACTAGTGTTAGATAGGTTAAAAGTTTAACAGAAGGTGGGGCTAGACGTAAGTTTATTCGGAGATAGCCAAGCACGCGGTTGGCGTCATTAGTGATGTTCATAATGTGGGATGACCAGGTCAGATCTGAAGTTAGAGTGATACCGAGGTATTTACATGAATTAGCTGCTGTTATTTCAGAATCAAATAGGGAGTATTTATTGGAGGAATAGGATTGACGGCGATAGAAGGAAATGACACAAGTTTTCTTTATGTTAAGGGACATCAGCCATTTTTCGCACCATGATTGAATCAAACAAAGATCAGGATGACAGGGTCGTTAGAATTGTGAATAGGACGATAAATGACACAGTCCTCTGCGAACAGACGAACGTTAGACGCTAAGTTATTGGGGAGGTCGTTAATATAGATTAGGAATAGTAGAGGACCAAGGACCGTGCCTTGAGGTACGTCGGAGGTTACAGCGGATAGGGAGGAGCGGTGGTTATTAGCACAAACAAACTGCTTACGGTTAGTCAAGAAGTCACATATCCAATTAAAAACGAGACAATTAAGGTTAAGACGTGAAAGCTTCAAAAATAATCTGTTATGAGAAACTTTGTCAAAGGCTTTTTCGAAATCAATGAAAATGGCATCTACAGGTATTGTTATTATCCAGGCTAGAACTCAGGTCGTTAATGAACAGGGCGAGTTGAGTGTCACATGAAAGTCCTTTTTGAAAACCGTGTTGGTTAGGGTGAAAGAAATGTACTGAACGTAGAAAAATCTATGTGGGAATAAATTATGTGTTCCATTAATTTAGAGCATACACTTGTGATGGATATGGGGCGATATTTACTTGGTGAAGATGAAAGACCTTTTTTCGGGACAGGAACGATCTCACCAAGCTTCCAGTCTTCCGGCACCACTCCGCGTGAAATGGACTGCTGAAATATGTGCGAAAGAATAATGCTTGTTATAGGCTTAGTGTTTTTCAGAATTTTGGAATTGATGCCATCCATTTCTGCGGATGACGTTAGTTTCAATTCGTCAATTAGTTTTGCAATACCGTATGAATCGAATGTAATGCCTGGCATGACAGGATGATCAAGAAATGGGGAGTCTGGAAGCGGGCTGCAAGATTCAGGGGTAAATACGAAAGAGAAGGCAGTATTTAGTACTTTGTAACATGTTCTGGAATAGGATCGCCGTGATCATCAAGTAAGGATAACGTTTTAGTGGAGTTGGGGTTAATGGCTCTCCAAAATTGTTTAGGGTTATTTCGTAGCATATTAGGTAATGTAGAAGAGAAAAAAGAATGCTTAGCCGTTGCAGCGAGTGATTCAAATTCCTTTGCCGTTCCGCGGTACTTGTTCCAAGCGCTCGCGCTGTTAGACAGTTTAGCCGAGCGATATAATCGCTTTTTCTTATTGTTAAGACGCTTGAGAGATGTGTTGAACCCAGGTGAAGACGCCCGTTTCGTAATTGTAATTGTGGGTATAAATCTATTGATCAAATCATGTATTTTGCACTTGAACAAAGACCAGTTAGTTTCAAGAGGGCGTTGGAAGAAGTTTAAATACCATTCACAAAATATGGATAGTTCGTTGTTAATGGCGGCATAGTTACCCTTATCGTAGAGTGTGAGGGTTTTCTTGGAATGGCTTTTGCCTGGTAGTTGATTAGAAAACGAAGCGTGAAGCACAGCGTGATCACTAATCTATGGGAGAGGAACTAGGGATGCAAGATTGTCGGGGTGTGACGTGAAAATGAGGTCGAGAATATTTGAAGAGTGCTCAGTAGCTCACGTTGGGAATGAAACAAGTTGAGATAAACCAAATGTTAGGCACGTGTTAACAAAGTCGCTTTCCATAGTGTGTTTAGATATTGTGAGCGCGAGGTTAGACCAGATTATTCCTGTGAAGTTAGTCACCCATTAAAATAACCGGTATGTTAGGATAAGAGGCATTCAGGAAGTTAAGAGCACTGTGGAAATTAGCGATAAATGAAGCATCTGCATCAGGGGGGCGGTAACAGACTCCGATGATAACCGGAGGATATGAATTTCTGCAGCAGACAAACAGTAATTCAAGGCTGTAAGGGATGACCACTGGGGAGCAATTTAATCGACTGTGAGCAGCTATCAGAACGCCACCACCACGCTTACCATCACGATCTCGCCGAAATATAGTAAAGCCAGGAAAGCATGGTGCTAATTCGGAATCGCTTATTGAAGGGTTTAGCCACATTTCAGTTAAGAGAACAAAGTTGCATTCTGTCGTGCAGATAAGATTAAAGAGCGAGTCGCGTTTCGGCAAGAGTTCCTATGATAAATAGGTACTGTTCATGAAAATATTTCATTCATTGGTCAAGAACCATAGTTAATTATGGAAGTCTACTGAAATAATTGGGTAAACACGAAGTGCAGTACAAACGAGGGACAAAGAATGAATGTCTCAGGGAGAAGAATGGGTCTGCTTTCCTTTCTTTGCTGAATACGTATCAAAACAGCAGGCACAGCTGGTACACAATGATTGCTTATTTGGAGATGATGAAGAAACGGTTAAAGGACCCCTGATACCAAGTTTGGAAACTTGAAATGCTTCTGTTGTTTGAGAGTCCTGCATGCGGGGGGCACGTCTGACCGATTATTAGTGATGAGTGTTGCCTATAAGATATTTAATTATTTATTAGTAATGAGCATTGCCTATAAGATATTTTAATTTGGTTTTATATTAAGGGTGCGTGCTTGTCCGAGTATTCAGGTGCAGTCAACATTTTCTGTGGTTTTACCTAGACATGGGGCCCCGAAGTGACGTTGCAGAAGTCAAGCAAGTATTGTTGGCATCTGAGAACATTTTCGGGGCACGCACAATACTCCGACTGGCACCCGGCAAGGACTATTGTTCGTCATTCCTCGCGCTCTGTTTTAGGGCTGCGGTCAAAACAGTTTTGGCTGCTTACTTCAGGAGTGTTTATCGTTTTTCTGAGGGGGGACTCGCTCAAAGAAGCCACTTCATTTCATTCTTCAGCACATGCGGGTCCCCTATTTGAAAACAGCGTGGTCAGAGTCACTGAAGCTTGAGCACACGTAGTCTCAGGCACTGCCCCATTGTGGGGTGCTAGTTTCTTATGGTATTTAGGAGGGCATTTCGAACTTACGCAAAATCTTTCTGAATTAGCGATGCTAGCATAAATTATACGACGCGTTAAAGCATTTACGGTTCTATTTCGGCATAACCATACGCAAAGCTACAAATTCCTGTAAAAAAGTATCAAACAAATCTTCCGCTGTCAGGAGTCCTTTAAAAGTACGAACAGTTGCCAAAGGAAGTGGCAGTGGTCCCACTTGATGCACCATGGTTCTGTTAATGATTAGGCAATCAGTCTGCCCTGTGATGGTCAGCCTGGGTCACTTGCAGCAGATGTGCGATTCCTTCTTGACATTCCTTTTTTTGAACCTTCTCGTCCTGTTGTCTTAGTGTCAGATGAACGTGTCCGGTAAACATTGTCAAAGGTGCACTACTTTGCAAATGAATTACACATTGATGGAACAGGTTGATCCCATGAGTAAATGCCTTTGGCCACTCCACGATACTGTACTTCTGGAATGCCAATTCAGTGAGCAGTCTAGTCACTACAATAACAGAAAACTGTAGTTGATTGTGACGATGACAACCAGTTGTGATAATGGGTACATATGCCGTACACACAAATAAAGTAAATCAAGTGTGTGGAGTGGGTGTGCTTTTACACTGCTTTAATACCACACAAGTCAATGACTGACGGAGGTATGATTATGGCTCGTACTTGTGGCTTCAAAACCACTGCCGTGTACGTATTGTAACATAATCGAGTGGACCACTCAGGGGGGTGGCACTGGAAGTTCATGTTGCACAGCTGGCTAAAGAAAAGGGCTGTCTTCAGTACGTTGCCGGGTACAGGGCCATACCGGTGCGAAGAGGAAAGAAGGAAAATAGGAGGTAAAGAACGGCAGGGAGGTTAACCAGTCTATATGCAGCTGGTTTGCTACCCTGCGCATAAGAGGGGGATGTGGGAGATGAAAGATAGAGAGAGAGGGAAGGGAGATAAACACAGCACATTCAGCAGCACACGCGCGCAAGAGGATTGGCTGGAACAAGTGGTCACAGCCAACATACTTGCCTAGCACAGAGACTGGCCAGTTTGAAGGTGTCTGACTGGCACAGTGGGATACCGTGCTCACTGTTAGCTCTCCCATGCTTATGGGCTGAGAGATGGGCTGCTCCATTTGACCAGGCTGGGCAGTTCAATCTGGTCACGCGTTAGCCTTTCTGGTGCAGGTCTATGGACTTCATTTTCGTTCACCACTCCATCTCAGCCACGTGCACATCACTGCATTGGACATGTATCCGTCACACTGAAAAATGGCAGCACAATCCAGAGAAAGAACTCTCAGAAAGCAGTAGCACCCCCAAGTTGAGGTTCTACAGCTGTTCACATTTGGAAAGTGCATCCTCTCACTGTATAAATGTCACAGCATAAATGTTTTTCAACACTAGGGACTTCTTTGCATTGCATGGTGGTGACTCTGAAAGGTTTATGTACTAATTACAATCCCCGGGAAATAGTCTCATGGAGGCTGAAAAAAAAAATGCTGTAGAAGAAGCCAGTGTGAAAGGCTGGTGCAGAATGACAACTTGAATGTCACTGCTGAATTACCATTCAGGAGGTGGCACAGGAAGCGCCCGTTGCACAGCTGGTCAAAGTAATGAGCTGTCTTCAATACATGACCCAGTGAAACAAACCAGCAGTTTTTCTTAGCATTTTGTATTGCATGGAAGCTATGGTAGAATCTTGGTTGCATGTTCTAACTTTCTGTTTAACTGCCAAATAGGGCGTCTGTGTCAATGCTGAGCCGTCAGGGGCTCCATTTTGTCAACTTCACTTGCACCAGCTCATCCAGATGTCTGTGTACAATACTTCCCCACTTGGTCAAATGCCTGGTTCGCTATGAGGCTTTAGATGTTACAGCTCTCGGCTGCAGACCCTTACGTCAGGGGTTTGATCCCAGCAACGGTAGTCTCGTTTCAGTCGAGGAGACATGCTAGAGGCCCGCATACTGTGTGATACCAGTGCATGTTAAAGAACACAAGGTGTTCAATATTTCAGGAGCCCTTCACTACAGCATCCCTCATAATCGTATCGTGGTTTTGGGGCACTCCAGCCCAAATGTTATTGAATTTTTCAAGGGCTCAAACGCCTTGGCACCTTAAGTACAACTCGTCTTTGATCACTCGTCCAAACACTGATATACAATTGGAATGCTGGCCAACAGAGCTACAGTGGATGTGGCTTTTGCGAGTTTTTTTAGACATCTTTTTCGTACTGTTTCTGTCTAGTAGGCGGCGGCCAGACGGGAAGTGCGGCAGCCACAGCAGCGCAGCCTATGGTGCCTCCTACAGTGACCCCATATGTTCAACAGCCTTACCCTCAGCAGCCGTATCCTCACCAGCCACCTGCGGCCTACCCGGTGCAGCCGGCACCCGTGGGACCCACCATGCCTACTCCGAATTTTGGGTACTACGCGTCGCCGTACGGAAATCCACCCCCGTACACAGACAATGTGATGCCCGTGCAGCAGCCACCACCGATGCAGCAACCCCCGTACAACCCTAGCTACCCGGCAAAGTGAGTGTCTGAGAGTGGATGTGCAATGCGGCGTGATGTGCAGCACCCCGAGCCACAGACTGGTGTCGAAAGGTGGTTCTGGGGAATGTGGCCTGTGTTAAGAGCGACAACGTTTAGGGATATGTTTTGACATTGTTGTGCACTTGTCATGTGGTCTTGGTTTACACAGAAGCGTGCAAGCGGATGGTTTCTTCTTCGTTACAATGCTTGCCGAGTATCGGTAGTTTGATCGTATCTGAACAAGTTGTGGTGGGAGTTACAAGGAAGGTGGCATACTTTGTAACCGTACTTTGTAACTGTGTCCTGATGCACGTGGAGATGTAGGGAAATAACCGGCGAGAATTGTGGGAGCAGCTTTTGCAGTTTATAACTTGTATTTGTGGGGCACGTGAACGTAATCATTTGTTCTGTGAATGTGCATGCGTTCACTTTCAGGTGTTCATGGAAACAATATCCAGGGACACTTTGTCATGGAATTAAGGCATTGAAAATGCAGTACTTTCTACAGGATGATGTCATACAACTGTTCGTGTGTAACTGTGCCAGGTATCTCTGATGACACTGTGGACAAGGTTGCAAGTGTCTACAGGCTGTGCGGAAAAAGCACGTCGAGACGTCTTAACAGACTTTTGTGCTGCTTAGTTATTCGGCCGATGCTGTGATAAACATGGCGCAGTCTTCAAATTTGTTTTAGTCGATCCATCGGAAACGTGTGCACATGGAAACCATGGGGTGAAGCTTCACTCATGTTTTTACTATTGAGGCATTTTGTGATGTTTTTAAGGAAGGCTGAGAACCGTGACTCAATAGAGTGCTTTTCTTGAACCTAGTGGCATTATGGAGCTCCCTTTGCTGCTTGTACGTACACTGCAGTGAAATTCTCATTGAGAATTCGGCGAGCTCAAGTGAGTATGCTGGCCGTCAGGCATGCCACAGCATATCACATATTTCAGTTTTTTTTCTAATTATGCTTGGTAACCGTCAAGTAAGTCATTATTTCTTTTTACCTTCTTCATTGCCTAACTTTGAATACAGCAGTGAGCAGTGAAACAAGGTAAGGAGGTGAAACAACAATTTATTCTTGCAAACTTGGAAGCAGCAGATGTAGAGAAGCGTTTATGTAGTTGTAGCATGTCTGACGCCGTTTTGATGAGTTGGTGATGTTTCTGTCGGTGCTTTATTAGATGACAGCTAGACTTTAAAAGGCCTCGTATCTGGACTGAGTTCGCAACCATACTTTTCGAGATATGCACCTGTGGTTTGACAAAGTCGGTCTATCAAACTTCAGTTACATCAAGGTGTTGAAGATGACTAGTATTCTTGCTTAGCGGAAGCTCCTTCAGCATTCCAGATGTTTGCTGCCAAAATTTAATCACAGTACTCTAGCAAGCCTGTGTCCTTAGTTGGGGGTGTGTTAATCTCTTGTACTTAGGTTGGAAAGACTTGACTGTAAAAACGGGTAAATGTAGTGTTTGAAAAGCGTGGATTGCAAGGATTTCATTGCAGAATGTGTTCTAGCTGCGCGTGAATGTGTACAACAAATTTGGTAGCACAAGAGAACATGCAGCCTGAAAATGGGGACCAGCAGGTTGTAGTACCATCCCGTAACTGTGACCCAAATATGTACGCAGTTCAAAAAGTGTCTTGGTATAATGCAGGGCAGACAAGTGCCTGTGCTCCACTAACTCCCACAGGCTTTTAGCAAAAGTTACCTCATTGCCAAACAGTATGTAGCGCTGTAGCTGGTGTCACACTTTTTTTGTGTGTTTATGTTCAACACCTGTACATATACAAGTAAGTATTTTCTTTTTTGTTCTGTCCTCTCTTCTCAACATAAGCTCAAGGCAATATGAATTCTTTCACCGATGAACTGCATTTGTCCACTTTAGGTCGATTGAAAAGAAACTCTTAATACAGCGATATTTGCAACCCAGAGAACTTAATGGAAATCGGTGTGTGGCATTGAGGATTGCCCTAAATTTCTTCATTTATTTTAAACCTTTTTTCTTTATTGTATTCTCTCATAGTGTCGTTAATAGCGTCATAGTCTCGTTAAAAGAGGGATCTTGAGGGAGCACAGACTAAGCACTTCCACCTGCATCTACTGCATCACTTTATAGTGTCTTTCATGTCTCTGAGTCACAATGGCCTCCTACAACGAAATGCTGCACTGGAGATAACCGCGAGCTGTGCACTTTAGACGCAGTGCAGACCATGCAATCTTTGTGGGAATTTTGTGCTGTGCTGTTCTATACCTGTGGCTGCACCTGCGTGATTTGTTTCTGTGCCAGAGCATTGTAAAATACTCTGTAGGACAGGTTGAACTTTGTCGACAACGTAGAGTGATGCAACCGCAGCAGCGAACCATTTCGTAATAGTGACATCATGCATTGAGCCAGGACGGAGATAGAATGCTGTTCTTGCGTTAGAATTGCTGGTGAGCCTTTGTTGCTACTTATTCACACGCCTTCTGAGAGTTCCTGTTTGCACTCCTGAACCCTGTGTGAAGTGTGCGTTGGCTGTGTACAAACCTTAAGCGTTAGTGAGGTTCTATTTGTGATTGTCGATTCAGTGGCTTAACATACCGTGAGTGAGGACTGGGACTGAAATTGCATGACATTGTCTGTAGCTGCCAGCTGCCTTCGACCCAAGAACAAATTGCCTCTAAGAACTTGATGAGAGGAAACATGTGGTAAATTTGACATAGCGGATATATATTAGAAAGAACTGTGACTTTTTTTGCACGGACAGGGAGAGCACAGAGAGGCCAGGCATCAACTCTTGACTCATTTTTGTGAAGCTGTAGCAACATGTCTGTTGGATAGCACAAGTTGATTGATCGATATGCGGGGTTTAACGTCCCAAAACCACCATATGATTATGATTATAGCACAAGTTAACAGTGAGCAATCAAACGCAAGTACAGCAAGTAATTGTGAAGTGTGTGATAATGCTTCATTTTCAATGAAAGTTTAGTTGTGAGGTACTATTGCAGGTTTATGCAATGAAATGGGCCATTTATTTACACCTTGAAAAAAGTGCATGTCCTTCAGCTGTAACTTGCAAATATGCAATTATACTGTGGGCATAACTGATCTGTTCACACATTTTCAAACTCTAAAATGTGCACCTACCATGTCTCTTCGCAAATGCCTGAACACTGTAGTAAATGTTTGTACTTTGTGCAATTTCCTATTTTATGTTCTTACAAGCCTAAGTGACTGTTAGTTAGGCTTATATCACAATGGTGCTATTCTTTTATTTTACCATGTCTGATGTTGCTGTGCGAGTTATTTGTTAACTTTGTGAGATAATTCGCTTTCTTTTATCATGAAAGTAATAATAGCACTTGTGTTGAGGATAACGACAGCATGTGCCAAATTAGAAGCAACAACACGAAAATATCTGGTTATTGTGTATGATTTCCTAAAAAGGTGTTAATCTACATTTATAGGCGGGGTATATGTATTAATCCCAATTTTCTGTTGTTTGATACTCGTACTTGTTCTATTTATGTGTTGGAACTTTGTGTTGTCGAATTGTGCAGTGTCTTGGGCCATATTCCATCGCGAGCTAATTGGCTAACTGCGTACTCATTGTCACTTTTAGAACCTGAGATGCTTGCCAGTCTAAGGCATGTCAGAAAGTGAAGCAAAAATATGTGCCAACATACAGTGGTCGCGTATTTGTCTTGTCTTAGTGTTGTCAAATGCGCAGCAATGACCGCTTTGTGTGTCGTGTTTTTTTTTTTTTTTCATCCAATTACGTTAGCACGTATTTCTGCGTAGTAGTGTCAAGAAAAACATTTTAAATCTTCGGTGTCATGAATTCTTCAGTGTCACGTTGGCCTTAGAGCACGCAAGTATGGGATCCGTTTATTTTGGGGCCTTTGTGCAGTGCTAGTAATGTGAAGAATTTTCGGTACTTGATATAGAACACACATGCTGCTTCTTTTGTGTTTTACTTTTTGCTCACGTAAAAGCTTAGGCTTTTCTTTTTTTTTTACCTTACAAGCCATTTAGGATACTCCGAGGCTAGGTCACCAAAGGTCAATGAACTTTCATTTTGTACTACGATGTACTTACCTTTTATGCTGAGTGTCAATGTTTACGATGTGATCTGTGCTAAGAGCAAGTAAACTTTGTTCTTTTGTTGCAATTGGTTAATACACCATCCGACGCTTCCTTCCTAGGCCAGATTGTCGCACATTGGAAGATGCGCAATGTTTCTGTTCTGGGATTTGCTCCCCAATTTTTAGTTGGGCATACTGGTTAAACAAATGCAGAATACCAGCACTGCAGGGAATTTCGTGCACTGTAAGATTTGACTTGCCCTACGACACCAGGAGTTGTCAATATAGTATGCAATAAGTTTTAGGGGAGTGGCAAGAGCTAACCCAGACCCCAAATTGGTCAGTGGTTCATTACATAGCACTATGGAATAGATATAAACATGAAAGTGGTGATTTATTATGGGGCAAAATAAACCTGGGAAGTCATGGAATTTTTTGTCATAGGCATTTATCTTTTTTAAATGCTTTTGTGCATCATATGTCGCAATGCCCACCTATTTGGTTCCCCTACTAGGTCTTCAGTGCTCTTTGCTAGTCATTCACTTCTGACTATTGCAGGAAACTGTTTTCATTTCTTTTAAGTCTGCTTTATAATCATGTTATGTGAACACTTTTTTTCTTACGGTTTTTGAACGCTGCAGCTCAATCATCTGGTTTCAGTTTTCTCATCCGGGTTACAGAAGCAGGAGAGGTAAAAGGTCACATGAACAAATGATACGTGTGCCATTTATTATACACAAACTACTAGACCAGGTTTAGAATTTTAATCAGCCATGTTCACACCTACCAGTGTCAGTTTAGTGACTGCATGGTATGTTCCACTTTTTCAAAAAAATATTGTGTTCATAATGTCAATTTGTCAAATTGTTGATGGTTTTTTGCTCGAATAAAATGTATAAACAAATTTGCTACCTTCTTCTACATTGGGGCTCATGTGCCATCATAACACTGTTAAACTTGGTCCGCCATGGTGGCATAGTGGTTACTGGGCTCGGTTCCTGAACAGAAAGTCGTGGCTTCAGTCTGGGCCGCCATGCTCGCATTGCGAGTGGAGCGATATCGTAAAGGCTATGTGATGCCAGTGCACATTAAACAGGGTTCATGCGAGTTTTTGAAGTTTTAGAAAACTTTTGGATTTGAAAAGATTGTTTTCAAGGCCTTGAAAGTGCCGGATTTCTCGCATATCTTTGAAGATCTTTGAACTTAGTTGAGCCATTGTCCGTAAAATGTGACAAGTACACTTTGAAAATTGTGACGTCGTGCACGTAGATACGGCACGTAATTTATGAATGGCACGAAATTTATGAACTTTGATTTCCTCCTTTAATATTGAACTTATGGCGGTAAGATCAACGACGTGTTTTCAGAATATTTCGTCAATCTAAATAGTGTCACTTTAATCTAGGCTTATCAAAGGAACAATATCAGGAAACTGACATGGTTTAGATTGATAAACTGTACTTTGAGAATTTCGATGTCACACTTTTCACTATCATAAGTTCATTATTAGCAGAGAAAACCAATGTTGAAGTTTCATTATTAGGCTCGCACCACTATCTCAATGCGTTACACCACAAAATATATGTTTTGTACCTTTGCGACATGGCCTGAATGAAATTTTCCGGAACTTCGTATGTTTGGTCTACGACACCCACATATTACAATGTACTTCATTTTTAATGAACGGAAGCTACGTAGGGTCGAGTAGACGTCCTCGAGATCTATGACGTCACACTGTTTTTTGCAGGAATCTCTAAATGGTGGCCTCTCTACGCGCGTTTTTTCGGTTGAATCGTCGTCCCGCGGTAAGAGCTGTGTTTTCGGCGCTGTGAAATTTACTTCACATGTACTAATACGCCGAAATATCGTTTTTTTCTGGTGTCCGTTTACTTTTTTTCCTAGCAAACTTATGAGCCGAAAATGATACAAAAATAAGGATTTTTTTTTCATTATCATTTTGAATTTACCTGTCGAAATTTTTGTCCCGCAGATAACATCACTTCATTTTTAGTGGTTAGAATTGAGCAGTGACTGGTGCGGGGATACTTTCAAGCTGCTCTTGCCATCCGCATTTTCTCGCAGCAGGCTTGGTGTTATTGATATTGTGAAAAAAGTAGTGCACTAATATGAGAAAAATTGTGTTTCTCTTTAGCGCTAAGTTCCTTTAATGCTGAGTGACATTAGATTAGTAGATAGAAACGCTGAATGCGTAAACTACCAGCATGTGCACCATGTAGGCATTCTTTCCGACACATCGCGTGGGGAACAAATAATTTATGTATGATATACCGCAGAAAGTGCTCCCCTGGTAGGTTAATTTTAAGAAAATGAAATCCGACATAGAATATATATATCTGAAGTTTAAACACGGGATTCATGCGGGCATGATCATCAGATAACGTACTTCTAGGGCCAAAGTTGGTAAGGGGTTCTGATACATCTTTAATTTTCGTGACCCAGTTTCTTAGACATTTCCTTTTTCTTGATCAAGTCTTCCACACAGAACGATCCGTTGACCAGAGAGCATCACTCGTATGGTGAACGCAGCTAAGATGTTTTGGCAGAGTTCCGCTTCGGCGAAAGCTTGACACAGGGACAGGAGCAACCGCTAGGGGTACCTGCGCCGGCGCGGGGTCATCGAACAATAGTAGAGCGGCCCCGGCACTGCAATAATTGTACGGCACGTGCCGGAACCGTGAAACGTGATTAAATATACTCGTGAAGATTGATTACGTCTTCAGAATGATGTTACCTGAGCTTCAGAATGAAGCTCTAATGCAGGCAAATTTAGCGTCGAATGAGGCCTTGAAGCTATAAATACGGTGGCAACCAACCCATGCTGCTTCCACTATAAAATATGCTTCCGCTAAAGAAGCTGCTTATATTTTTCCCTGAAGCATCTAGTAAACTTTATGGACAATCCAGAGTTCTTCAATGACTCTGGTAGATCTTAATGCGTCGCGGAAGTGTAGTGGTTGCAACTATTGACAGCGCATATCCAATCTTCCATGCTGCGTATACATTCGGTGTTTCTAAACGAAGATATGATAACCCAAGATAGCCGCGTATTTATCGAACCTACAGCCAGTTTGAATGAATGAGTGGTCTGAATACTTCATACGTCTTTTGCGTGGTTTTCGTGTCTTGTTTTGCATTTATTTATCACTAAGGTGTTAGAGCGCGTTTAAAGCTTGGTTGGTCACGCAATGTTGTTTCCCAGTCCTTTACTCTGCTGTGTAGCTTACTCATGCTATGTTTTCTCCGTGCTTCTTTATTGTTTGTACTGTTAAGGCAAAAGTCTTGCATGGCCCCGCTGCGGTGGTCTAGTGGCTGAGGTACTCAACTGCTGACCCGCAGGTCGCGGGATCGAATCCCGGCTGCCTTTTCGATGGAGGCGGAAATGTTGTAGGCCCGTGTGCTCACATTTGGGTGCACGCTAAAGAACCGAACCCCAGGTAGTCGAAATTTCCGGAGCCCTCCTCTACGGCGTCTCTCATAATCATATCGTGATTCTGGGACGTTAAAGCCCACAAATCAATCAATCAAAAGTCTTGCATGCCTCCTCAAGCGTGAAAATTGACCGACTGCATGCCGCACCGGCGGCGTCGACATGTGACGCAAAAAAATATCTTCTCGTGCTGATGACACATTTATATCAAAATTAACTTCTCACGCTTTTACAGCTTGCGAAACTATTTTACAGTTTTTGGGTGCATCCTTTCTTGCGCCGTCACCCTATAGCAAGCTTCAATTGGTATCGCTCA